AAGAAGAAGAAGAAAGAAAAGCTTGGCTAGGGTTTCATTTTTTTTTCTTTTGTTTTGTTTTAAAACCAAATTACCTCAAATGAGGCCCAACAAGTCCAAGCCCAAAAGGTAAGAAATCTACCCCCCTCCTAAACAAGACCCACCACACGGGATCCGGTAAATATTAATTTAAATGGGATTTTAGAGCCCGATAAACATAGATAAATTCAATTAACATTCACTTTAAAATTAAATGAAAAATCTCCTGATTCGAGACTAACTAACCTGAGGGGCTCGGGGCGTTACAGGAGCATTCGTCACTGATCACAGCTTTTGGAATGCAAGACGTTATAAATATATGCTTGCGCAAAAACTTGGCGACCACTTTGGCATCACTGCTGGCGCATGCCACTACCTCAACCCATTTGGATACATAGTCGACTGCTAACAAAATGAACAAGTGTCCATTTAATGGAGGGAAGGGCTCCATGAAATCCATGCCCTAGACATCGAAGAGCTTCACCTCTAAAATGTATGTAAGAGGCATTTCTGACCTCTGGGAGATGTTTCCAACCATCTGGCATTCGTTAAATTGTTGTACTAATTCGTAGGCATCTTTGAAAATAGTCGGCCAGAAGTACCCATTCTGGAACAGTTTTGCCACTGTCCTCTGCCCTCCAAATTGCCTACCATATGGTGCAGAATAGCATTTGGTTATCACATGATGTGCTTCAATATTGGCAATGCATCTTCTGGCCATTTTGTCTTGACATACTTTGTAGAGAAATGGGTCGTCCCACACATAGAATTTACTCTCATGCAAACATTTCTTGAGATGTTGCTTGTTCATGTTAGCATGCAATACTCCACTGGCGATGTAGTTAGCTAGGTCAGCGAACCATGGCTCATCTTCCTCATTCAGGGATTCAATCCCCACTACTTGCTCATCTGGAAATGTTCCTCTGATCTCTGATTAGTCTCTTGAGGTTCCTAGGCCAGTCAATCTAGACAAGTGGTCAGCAACCAAATTTTCTGTTCCTTTCTTGTCTTTGATTTCTATGTCCAATTCTTGTAACAGTAGAATCCAGCGAATCAACCTCGGCTTAGCATCCTTTTTGGTGAGCAGATATTTCAGTGCTGCATGATCTGTATAGACAGTCACTCTGGATCCCACTAGATACGCTCTGAACTTCTCAAAGGCGAACAACACTGTTAATAATTCTTTTTCCGTGGTGATGAAGTTGATATGTGCTTCTATCAAAGTTTTACTGGCGTAATATATCGGATGCAGCAGCTTTTCTTTGCGTTGAGCAAGGACTACTCCCACAACATAGTCGCTGGCATCACACATGAGTTCGAAGGGTTGTGTCCAATATGGTGCTGTTATTATTATAGCATGGGTGAGAGCATGTTTAAGTATTTTGAACGCCTGGAAATAGTCAGATGTGAAGTTAAATTCTTTGTCATTCTCAAGTAGAGGACAAAAAGGTTTAGAGATTTTAGAAAAATCCTTTATAAATCTGCGATAAAAGCCGGCATGTCCCAAGAAGCTGCGAATGCCCTTGACGTTCACAGGTGGAGGAAATTTCTCTATTGCCTCTATCTTCGCGTTGTCTACTTCTATGCCTTTGCTGGAGACTCTGTGCCCTAGCACAATTCCCTTCTGCACCATGAAATGACATTTCTCCCAATTCAATACCGAGTTTATTTCTTCACATCTTTCAGCACCTTCTTCAGATTATCCAAGCACTCTGTAAATGACTTTCCAAAGACTGAAAAATCATCCATAAACACCTCAACTACTGATTCTACCAAGTAAAAAAAGATGGCCATCATGCATCTTTGGAATGTTGCTGGTACATTGTAGAGCTCAAAAGGCATTTTTCTGAAAGCAAACGTTCCATAGGAACAAGTAAACATCGTCTTCTGCTGATCTTGCGAGGCTATCGTAATCTGATTATACCCACTGTACACGTCTAGAAAACAGTAGTACTCCTGGCCTGCACGTCTATCTAGCATCTAATCGATAAAGGGAAGAGGAAAATGATCTTTCTTTGTGGCTTTAGTCAGCTTGAGGTAGTCCATGCATATACGCCATCCTGTCACCATCCTCGTGGGTATCAACTCATTCCTTGCATTCTTCACCACAATCATGCCTCCTTTCTTAGGTACACATTGCACTGGGCTTACGCATTCACTATCTGAAATGGGGTATATGATGCCTGCGTCTAGCCATTTAATAATCTCTTTCTTTCTTCACTACTTCCTTCATTACTAGATTAAGTCTGCGTTGAGACTCTATGGAGTTCTTGCACGCTTATTCCAGCACAATCGTGTGCATGCAAAAGCTGGGGCTTATTCCCCTAATATCTGCAATAGTCCATCCAATTTCCTTCTGATGGGTTTTGAGCATGCTCAGCAACATCTGATCCTTTTCCATTGGTAGATCTGCTACTAGTTTCTGACAATCCCAAGTAAGCATACTTGAGTTGCTAGGGTAATGCCTTAAGCTCCAGAACTAGTGGTTCTTTTACAGACGACTTTAATAATTTATACTCACTATTTGCCAGGTCTAAAGACTCGTGTATGCTCTTATCTGATTTATCGCTGTTATCTAAGTAAATAACCTCTGGGTCTTCCTCTATGTTGTCAAAATAAGGTCACTTCTAGAGTCCAAAACTTCCAGATGCTTTAGCATGGCTTCTGCTTCCAACTCTTCAATCAATGCCTCATCTAGGATCTTCAGCACGGTACACTCTTCTGATTCAGCTGGGAATTTCATTGAGTCGTATATTGAGAATTTCACTTCTTGGTCTTAAACTCGCATCGTCAACTCTCCTTTGTAAACGTCTACCAATGCTCTCCCTGTCGCTAGAAATGGCCTCCCAAGGATGATAGGAACCTCCTTATCTGCATCATAATCCAAAATAATAAAGTCAGCAGGAAAAATAATTTATCAACTTGTACCAAGACGTCTTCAATTTTCCCTTCCGGATGCGTGATGGACCGGTCTACAAGTTGCAGTGTCACTGTTGTAGGCCTTGTTTCTCCTATACCCAACTTGTTATAGATGGATAAGGGCATGAGGTTGATGATGGCTCCCAAATCACATAATGCAAGTCCTATTTCTTGTCCTCCAATGGAAACAGGTATCGTAAAACTTCCAAGGTCCTTCATCTTCGCTAGAATTTTGCTCGTGAGGATATTGTTGCATGCCTTGGTCATCGCCACAGTCTCATACTCTCCCAGCTTTCTCTTCTTGGTGAGTATTTCCTTTAGGAATCTTACGTAATTCGGCATCTGTTCTAGAACTTCCACCAAAGGTATGTTTACATGTAGTTGCTTCAGCACATCTAGGAACTTTTTGAACTGCATGTTCTGCTCTTTCTTCTGCAACCGCTTAGGATATTATTGTGACGGTCTGTATTCTACTGGAGCATCTGCATGCTCTATCTGCTTTCTTTTCTTGGGCACTCTAGTCTGTGTTGAGTCTGTGTTGTTGTGAATTTCCCTAGGTTGCTTCGTGTTTTGCACTGGCGGAGTGGTTAAAACTTTCTCTGCTGGCTCAATATTCTTAGCTGCCTGAGATTCTCTTGATTCTTTCTTCGTAGGCTCGCTTACTACCCCTGGAGCAGTCGAGTGTGTCGGAGGTAATGCTTTGCCACTTTGCAGTGTGAGGGCCTTACATTTCTCCTTACCATCCCTCTTTGGTACTTCATTATCGCTCGACAATGCTCTATAAGGTCTGCTTTTCAAATCAGTTGCTAACTGGCCTACTTGCAGCTCTAGATTCTTAGTGATGTCGCTTCGCTCTGCAGAGTGGCGTCATTATTAGCCATATATTACTTCATCAACTTTTCCAATGACGCAATTGTTGATGGGATGTGAATCCCGGAGCGGAAGCGGATCATCATTCATGATTTTTTGAGAAAACAAAAACAAAGGTGTGAAGAAGAAAATACAGGGGAAACTTACATTTGAAGAACTTTTCTGCAACGATTTTCACCCGAACACCACCACCGAATCTTCCGAGCTATCCTCTTGGGCCTCGATAACACGCTTGTGGGAGCGTTTCTTTGGAACGAGGGGGAGAATTGAGACAGATTGAGAGAGAGAGATGCTGGGGGTTCTTTCTTTGTTATCCCTGTTTTGTATTTTACAGAACTGCAAAATAGAAAGCATAACAAAGAGACAGTGACGTGGGGAGTTACCTCACGTCAATTAACTGCCCACTCCCCTACAATTTTGCAGGGGAGTTTAATATTAATATTAATAATTAATATATATATATATATATATTTAATTAATTAATTAATTAATTAATCATATTAATTATTAAATGTTAATTAATTATTAATCTAATTAATAATTAATTAATATATATATATGTATATCAAATAATTAACACCTAATTATTTATCACATAAATAGAGTCATATTCTATAGCATTTCTCTCGTATAACCTATAGTTCTAATGTACATCTTATGCACATTATTTTTAACCTATAGTTTTAATATGAATCTTATTCATATTAATTTTATTTGAATCTCATTCAAATAATTTCTCTCATAATATATAATTTTAATTTAGAATTAACTATATATTATAATGTATCAATATACATATAATCCCTTCAATAATTTGAACAGTTCAAATTCTTCCAAAAACTTGATCATTGTTTTACCCATTATGAGCTAGCAAGGGGACCTAATGGACCTACAGATCAGAAGCTCCAACGATACGAGATTAATCGATCAAACTCATTGATCCAGTTAATCAACAATCGTTAACTACGGGTCACTGCACTAAAGACCCGCAGTTGCACTCTTTCCACTGCAGAATGTTTTCGTGTCCATGGATATACGACCATTAATGACAAGTCAATCCTTCACGAGTGCTCGTAACTCAAGTTGGGTCAAATTACCGTTTTACCCCTGAGTTACATCTTACTCCTTAAATACCACTGCTCCTCTAATGAACAACCCGGTTATGGTCCGACTAATAACCGGAAGTCCCTCTTAGGCCAATGAGAGGGTGGGGCCCCTTGTTCAAGTCCCGGAATCAACATTTAAGAGAACACTCATCTACTCCCTTAAAGTCGGAGAGGAGTGAATTCCATTTTGTGAAGTTATGTTCCCAGCTCCCCACTCGGTCTCGTCCCCAAAATGGTAGGAATATTGAGTCGGCAACTCGGGCCACTCTCACCCATACAGATCAAAGGACGAGCCCTCACGGGCAGGAGCCCATAACTCACTCAGGATTGAGAATGAGTTGTTTGGTCATCCTATGAAATAGCAATCTGTTAGTCAACGACATTACATCTAAAGATTGACTATTTCGCAGTCCGGTCTTATACAAACTCATTGTATATGATACCCCCACTAACATTTACAAAGTGGGCCGTATTCATAGTGTTGCTAGGATAAGGTACCCAGCCTTATCCATATACTATAGACCCTTCAGGTTATTCACGGGACATTATCCACTCATATATCAGGAGTATATCAAATATATACCTCGTATATCAAAGGGTATATCAAATATATACCTAGTACATCAAATATATACCCAATATATATACTTTCCCGTTTACATTAAACTAACCTTGGATGTTTAGTTTATTGGATTTTGGACAATGCAATGCTATGAATTAAACAACAAATTTATTGAATAAAACTTTATTGAATATACATTTATTTTTACATAAATACAAACTACGAGTTTAGGGCAACACACCCAACAATTGTTCCTTCTGCGGGATTCTATGCCACCACCTAACCTTGGTTAGCAAATCCTGGGGGAAAATTCCCTTTCTGCTGGTATGCTGGACCATTGGAGGTACTAACATTATTTCCTCCCTGATTTCCACTCCAGCTGAAATTCAGGTGCTTTCTCCACCCTGGGTTATATGTGTTGGAATATGAGTTGTTTCTACTGTTCTGTGGATTCCCCAGATAGTAAATCGGTCCTGGGTTGCCAGTGCAATTGTTATAATGATGATCTCTTTCACAAAAAGAACAAGAGATCCCCTGAATGTGGCTAATATTTGCCTTGCCAACAGATGCTCCCACTGTGCTCTACTGCGTCATGCTTCCCATCACTAAATTTGTCAGGTTTTCAATTTTCGAGTTCAAAGCAAAATATGATTCAGATTCATTAAGCCCCTTACCTCCTCTACCTTGAATAGCTCTAGGGTCTGACCACGAATGATTGTTCGATGATATTCTCTCCAAGATGTTGAATGCTTCAGCATAAGGTATTGCTAGAAATGCACCATTTGCTGAGGCATCAATGACCAAAAGCGTAGCGTCGTCCAATCCATTGTAATATGTTTCAATTTGGATGCATCTTGGGATTCCATGGTGAGGGCATTTCTGAAGCAGTCGCTTAAAACGCTCCCATGACTCACTCACTGACTCCCCAACAAACTGCTGAAAATTGTTAATATCACTTATGTACTTAGCGTTATTACTGGTCGGGAAGTACTTCATCAAGAATTTATCAGCCAAGTCATCCCAACTTGTAATGGATTCTGAAGGCAGCGACTCCAACCAAGTCCTGACTTCATCTCTAAGTGAATAGGGGAACAACTTAAGCCGCAACACTTCTTTATTGCATCCTTCATCCTTAAACGAATTGCATACCCCCATAAAAAAATCAAATGTGAATGCGGGTCTTCAATAGCATGTCCGTGAAATTGGCCTACTATCTGGAGCATCTGAAACATTACTAGTTTTAGTTCAAACTTGGGGGCTGCAATTTTAGGCTCCATGATTACTGGGTTGAAATTATAAAATTTTGGAGTCGCGTACGCCTTGATTTCTCTGTCGATGTCATCTGCTAGTAATACAGCGTTGAGAGGAGGTAGTAGCAACAGGAACCCGTGCCTGAACTGTTACGCGCAGTGAATCCATGCTCTAGCTCTGCTTCGCTCTAGCACTAATCAGCTTTCCCTCGAAATAATCCTGCCTACTGTTTTCTGGATTGCTGCACTTCCTTTATGCTTAGTCTCCTTCTTTCAAACTTGCGTATTTACACCAGAAAGACGAGCAATTAGAGTAGTATTTTGCTAGAGCATTCAAGACCTAGGGCATTTAGCTTGGATTTCACTTTCTAACTCAACTAGGCTAATTAAGAACCAAAAACCGACACACTTTAACAATTCTTTGCATAAAATCACCTAAATAAACACTAGAATAACTCTCTCTTGGAGAGTTATCACCTACATCATTTCCAATGAAGATGATGTCATCAACGTATAAAACTAGGAAAGCTACAGTATTGTTGACAACCTTTTGTAAACACAAGGTTCGTCAACGTTTTGGTCAAAGACATAAGATTTGACTGCAATGTCAAACCTTATGTTCCAGGATCTCAAAGCTTGTTTCAATCCATTAATGGATCTCTTAAGCTTGCAAACTTTTGCTCTTGACCCTGTTCTATGAATCCTTCTGGTTGAGCCATGTAAATGCACTGATCAAGATAGCCATTCAAAAAAGTTGTCTTGACGTGTATTTGTCATATCTCATAGTCATAATATGTGGCAATGGATAAGAGAATGCGGATATACTTTAACATGGCAACAGGGGAGAAGGTTTATTTATAATCAACTCTCTCCTGCTGGGTATCATCCTTTGCCACGAGTCTAGCCTTAAAGGTCTGAACCTTTCCATTAGCATCTCTCTTGTGCTTGTAGATCCATTTGTAATCTATAGGTTTTACACCATCAGGTTGATCCACAAGCTCCCAGATGGAATTGGAGTACATAGACTCCATTTTCGGATTCGTAGCTTTGACTCATTCATCTTTGTCAACGTCTTTCATTGGCTGTTTATAAAATAACGGGTCCTCAACGCCATCATCAGGTATGACGACCTGAGATTCTGTTAATCCGACGTAACGATGAGGTTGAGTTACAAACCTCCCACTATGTCGAGGTACTCTCAAATCTTGTGAAGATTGATATTGACTCTGTAACTACTCAGTAACTCCCCACTCACCTCCCCACTCACCTCGATCTCAGGAATAACGCCAAGACTTGTAGGACATGTAGAGTGATCAATAAGTGGGATCCAAAGGTAAGCGAGTCTAATTGCTTGTCCTATGGTAAATTGATTGGATTAAGACTAACTTTAGCACTCAAGTATTTGTTCTTCTTTTTTAGGTTCTCGTTGCAATTATTTTGTCCATAAAACCTTGCGAGTGATCAAAATTCAGCTGAAACAGTGTTTTTTCAATATGGTCATTAATCTTTTAAAAGTACCAATTTCTTCCTGTTGTATTGATTTTTTTCATTTTTTTTAATTAAGCTCTTATTGTCAGTCAACTTTGATTGACAAAATGATGATTTAATGTTAGAATATACTTTGCTAAT